AGCCCGTACGTTTCCTAAAATCCTGGTGCGTTAACGGGCACGACTCTAGGAAGTACTGGTGGTGAATTGCTGGTGATAATAGCCGAGTTGTGAGCCGTGACGGATCGGTAGGAGCTCGCGTTAGCGCTAGTAGCCTGCGCCAGCCAGCCGACGTGGCTCGGTTGTACCTGGCTCAACCAGCACTCGGGGAGCTTTCGCTTCCCGTTTGCAGGGCCTGTCGACGCGCCCGACACGTGGCAGTCCCGTCGTATGTGACGTGGCTGTTTCGTTGCTGGAGGACGAAGTGTGGGCAGGGGAAGTGCTGGCGGATTAAGTGATTCTCATTTTTCGCGACGCGATGGATTCGGCGGGGACTCTTCAACAAGATGCGGCGGACTGGCTTGACGTCTTGGGGGCGGCTCATCAGCAGCTGCAGGCGACGGTGGGTGAGCTGACTCAGCGCTCGCAGGAGCAGGCAGCGTTGGAAGGGGGTGGGCTCTCCTTGTCTGCATGGGTAGCTTCCCGTTCACAAATTTTGTTGGACATCGTTTGGGAGATAGAGGAGTTGGAGGAGATGTTAGTTTCTGGGCCTCATCCTTCTCTGGATTGGCGCCAGGTGGAGGCCGAGCTGGCAGTTTGCAAGGCCCTTTATCGCCAAGGGCGTGACGTGTGTAATCTCTTGGAGGATTGGTCTTGTGAGATGGACGCAGGGCGGCCGCTCATGCCGGATGGTGCTTCGCCTGTAACGTTTGCGGCCGCTGATCGGACTGTGCTGGCGGCTTGTACCTCCTCTCCCATCACGAATGACACCGACATGTTCAGCTTTAACTATCGGTCCAACAACAACGACTTCATCAATAATTGCTGCTACATCACGAACGTCGGCGGCATTCCCGCCAACTACACTTGCTACAACTATCACTACTTTACTTCCACCACTTCTCACACCGGCATCGACTCGCCAGCGGAGGGCGCGGAGGCTGCCAGGCTGGCATGGGCGACACCCGTCATTGTAGGGATGTTGCTTGGTTGGCCGCGTACGGGAATTGGTTGGTTGTTGGGGTGGGGCTGATTAGGGTTGACGGGTCGCCTGGGTGGCAGTTTTCGGCGTTCTGTTTGCTGTTTCTTTTATTTTAATTTTTTTACGTATCTGCGTTGTTGATTGTCGGTGACTTGCGTTACAATGCCCAGTGGGCTTACTCCTGCTTTGGACATGCCATTCGTTTGACTACTGAGACCTTACACCTGGCCGGGCCTCCTCATGCTACCTGCTTTGTGTTTCTCTATATGTGTTTCTCGATATAGCCGGCTCTCTGCATCATAGATAGTAGGCTAATGCATCTACAATGGCCCTGGGGCCTGCTTACATGCTTTCTTCATGTTTCTGATTTGAGACGGTAGGATATAATTGCAGCAGGTTAATCCTCCTCTGGTATGGGGAAGTAATCAATGCCTCTGCATCTACGATGGCCACGTGGCCCATTCATATGATTTCTCTTTTTGACAGAGCATTGTATAGGTCTTCTGCGATTGGACTGATATTTGGTTTGTTTTGAATGGCCCTGGAGATTAGATGACGAGGGACGCTGGACCCATTTTTCCAGTATAGACATTCACCTCGATACACCTGGACGCTGGACTTGAGTTTCAGCAAGATACATTTTCTTCATTGTACAGGGACGCTGGACCCGATTTCCAGCAGGTGCAGCTCCCCACCAATAGATGGAGCCTTCGACGCTGAGGCCTACTTACCGGGGATGCTCCTATCACCTCGTTAAGTAGGTTCTCCGCATATGAAGTTTCTTGTAAAAAAGAAAAAAAAGAAAAAAAAAAGGAAGTGCTGGTGGTTGTTGGACCATTTCTCTCTTTGTTTTTTTTTAGTCCTCCTGTGACAACAGTTAGGAGTGCCTGGAGTGATGATACGAGCATGCACTCCTACCTGTCTTGCCCGGGGCTCCAGTCTATTGGTGGGGAGCTACACCTGCCGGAAAAAACGGGTCCAGCATCCCCTGAGATACAATGTTTAAAGAAGATACACAGCACATTCTAGGAACCGGGCCCAGCGTCCCTCCTGATACTGCTGCTGAAGATGCAGATACTACTACTGATGATGGAGATACTAGCATTGATGATGATGATGAAGATGATGGACTGAATGATCAGCACTGCCGCTTCACCCCCTTAGGGGCACCAGATGTTCTATACTTTCCTAGCACAGGCTCACCATGAAAACAAAAACATGTAATATTCTCTCAGTTCTCTATGTAGTTCCAATTTTAGTGGATCTCCCGGAGGGCAAACCTGTGGTTGACTCTTCTTGCACGCTTGCCAGTCTTAGTCCCCGCAGGTCCACGTCAGCATCCCTAAATCACAAGGGATGTGCCGCACTGCTGCTCCATACCTCCCCACAGGTTCAATAGTCGAAGAATCATGTTCAGATCAAACGTGTCGGTCTTCAGCAGACACAAAGTTTCCGTATCTATAATCAGCGGGCGAAGCCCCTGATTAGGTAGTAATTCAGGTAGAAAACGACGCCCAGATCCCGCTCGGCCAACCACCTCACATCTGTCTCCATCCAACCATGGTTAGCACAGGATTGCCAACCTAAGTTGACCGGGCTATGGCAGGGGTATGGTTGTGCCCCCCCAAGGCGATACCTCCCGACGCCCTCACGCCCATCTTCCCTTCTCGCCTCCGCCATGCCTGACCATGGGTTCGGGCTATGCGCAGCCACAACTCGCGGCGACGCCAACTCGCTTCCCCATAGCCCAAGCGCCGAAAAAGGCCAAGCGCTAGCGCTGCGTTACCGCAGCGCTGACGTGCCGCCTGTTCGTGACCTCCTATTTTTTAGGACGACAGGCATGGCCAGGAGTCCTCAACAGGCATTATGGGGACATAAAATTTATACTCTCAACTAGCTCCTACTCCCTACAGGTGATTAAAAAAGAAAAAAGAAAAGAAAAAAAGAAACAGCCATCAGCCAATAGGAAAGCTAGTAAGCTACACTACACTGTCTGGTGCATCTCTCCTTTCCCATCCTCAACCCCATATTCCATTCCAGACCACCCTACCTGCCCTTTTTGTTTTTCACCCTCCTCCCTCCATTTTCCTGGTGGGCAGACAGCCCTGAAATCCATCCCCATCCACCCCTTCTTCTTCTTCTTCTTCTTCTTCTTTTTTTTTTTTTTTTTTTTTTTTTT